TCCTTCCTTCCTTCCTTCCTTCCTTCCTTCCTTCCTTCCTTCCTTCCCTTTGCCTCCAATTTCCCTTTGTTCCTTTCCTTCTTTTTTCTCTTTCTTTTTCCCTCCCTCCCTCCAATTTTCCTTCCTTCCCCTCTCCTCCTCCCTTCTTTACTTCCTTCTTCTCTCCCTCCCTCTCCCTTCCAATTTTCCTTCTTCCATTTTTCCTCCGTTCCTTCCTTCCCCTTTCCTCCTCCCCCCTTCCCATCTCCCTCCCTTCCTCCATCTATTCCTTCCTTCCTTCCTTCCTTCCTTCCTCCCTCCCTCCCTCCCTCCCTCCCCTCCAACTCACAACCGAGAGGTATCTACACAGTTTCCACCCAATTTCATGCGCCTCCCACCCCGCCATGCCTTCTAACCTTCACTTTGACGGTGTTCGCCACAATGCCATCGACAATATCTTCGGTGAAAGGATCGAAAAACTTGTCCGACCGTCGCATAAACTCGGGCTTCAGCAAGTAGCCGCTCCGACGATTGTACTCAAAGATGCCCAGGTTCAGCTGCATTGGCAAGTCTGCACGGAGGGGCGATACCAAAATGTAAGCCAGGTTGCTAGTCCTCATTATACCGGCAGAAGGAAAGCCAACAACAACATGCAAAAGATGGCTGGATACACACGGTGTGACCCCATAGCTCCGTTCCTCCTTATATTTAGAAGCAAAGGTTATTTCTAGCGGCTTCTCTTTTTATTGAGAATTTAAAGCTTAACGGGACGCTTAAAAAAAAATGGTGGGCAAATTCATTTATCAAAGTCACCCGCTCTTTGGCCAAGGCAGTGAAAACATTTTAAAAAAATAATCATGTAAAACAAATTTGAATTTTAGTCCTGTATGTAAAACACAAAAACTTTAGTGGTACAGTGGCCTAGAGGTGCTGCTCTCGCCTCACAATCAGGAGGCTGTGAGTTCAAATCCTAGGTAGAGGCAGATGTTTCTCTTTCTGGGCAAAATAAGAATATTATCTGCTGAACAAAACTCCACTCTGGTGACAGGAAGGGCATCCGGCCAGTAAACACTCAGCTCCATTCAATTGCTCAGACTCCACCCCGCAAGGGATTATGGGGTTGTTAAAAGAGGATGATGTAAAGCAGAGAAAAACTGCACCTTTCCCCGAAGTAGCAGTCCCCACCTTAGCTCAATTGCCATTAAATTTTATGCGCCGTATAAATTTAATAAATAATAAAGTTATTAAATAATATAAATGTAATAAACAATAACCATCATCCTTCCAGGTTCATCTATCCCGACGTTTTAATGGCCGGTTAAACCAAAACCTCTCTCATTCGCCGATCTAAACAGGAAAAGTTCTTTTTTTAAATGTGTACACGCCTGTGCAAGTTCCTAGCCCTCATTGCCCTCCAGAAGGCCAACTCACCCAGGGACTGAAAATTGAGGGCCACCATCTGACAGCCGGCGTTCCAGAAGAGTTGTGGCATGTAGTTGGAGGAATCCACACGTGTCCCTTTGGGGTAGATTCGGCTCAGCTGCTTCTTGTTGTATCTGGGAGGGATGCGTGTCAAGGCCGAATAATTGGTAGGTGTGGTCAGTTGTCCAGTTGACTATCAACACCTGTACCTCAAAGCAATCCTCTCCAACCCGTCCCCCACCTCCCCTGTCAATTCAGCCTTCCTTCTTAACGTTAGAATCATAAACCATAAAAGTGGGATCTGAGGGGTCATTTAGTCCAACCCCCTAACTCAAGGCAGGATCCCGTAGAGCAATGTTTCTTAAAATGGGGTTTTAACATTCCAGGGATGTTGACCCCCAAAATCCCCTCAGGAGTCATCCAAAATGGACACTGCAGGTAGTCCTCGATTTATAGTGACCGTTTGGGGTTACAACGGCACTGGAAAAAGGGACTTATGACCGTTTTTCACACTTATGACCGTTGTCTCCGGGTTCACGTGATTTACATTCAGATGCTCGACAACTGACTCTCATTTATGACAGTTTTTTACGCTGACCGACCGTTGCAACGTCCCCGTGATCATGCGATCAAAATTCAGACACTTGGCAAAACTGACTCACATTTATGACAGTGGTAGTGTCCCGGGGGTGTGTGTGTCACGTGATCCCCTTTTGCGAGCTTAAAGTCCACGGGGAAGCCGGATTCGCTTAACGACCATGTGGCCGACTGAACCACTGCAGGGATTCACTTAATGACCATGGCACGAAAGGCCATACAATGGGGGAGGCGGAGAAAACTCACTTAACCACTGTCACGCTTAGCAACAGAAAATGCTGGGCTCAACAGCGGTCGTTAAATCGAGGACTGCCTGTTTTCCGCTCATGGCGGGAAAGAAAGAACGCCGGGTTCGAATCCCACCCCCGCCGTAGTGATAACCTGGACCGGAGCGAAGACATCAATTTAGAAGTTTTGAATTGGGACATATGGATAAATATCAGCCAGGCCAAAAGCACAACGGGAACCTCTCATCAATTTTAAAAATGGCGGGGTGGGGAGAAAGGGGTTCATGAGGGAGGTGGGTTCAAGAGCTTCATATTTGCAGGATACTCGACAAACTCCATGGGGCTGTTGGTCAGCTGCTCCAACCCTTTGGTCTCCACGAAGGAAGACATTTCGAAAGATTTGTTGCGTTCTGGAAGAGAAGTTTAGTTTAGTTTAGTTTATTGTCATTGCACCTCCTGCAACGAAATGAAATACCATCTTCAGTGTACAATTTATGACTATGGAAATAAAACACAAACCCACATGTTTCGCATGCTATACATTGAATTGAAAACCCCTGATGTTGCATTAATGTTGCACTACACAGTAGAATTCAATAGAGTTACTGGGATAGAAGCTGTTTTTCAGCCTATTTGTCCTTGTTTTTATTGTCTTGTACTGTCTGCCAGATGGTAATAGTTCAGAAAAAAAAGGGTACCCAGGATGAGATGGATCTTTGAGGATGTTTTGAACTTTCTTAAGGCAGTAGGAGCTATAAAGCTCTTCCAAAGAGGGGAGAGGGCAACCCATGATCCTCTGGGCAATGATGTTAACCCTCTGGACTGCTGTCCTATCTGCCCCTGTGCAATTGGCAAACCCTACAGAGGTGCAGTGAGTTAAGATACTCTCTCTGGTGCAGCGGTAGAAGGTCACCAGCAGTTTTCCATTTGGTTGTTGTTTTCTGAGAAGCCTCAGGTAGTATAATCTCTGCTGGGCCCTTTTGAGCAGGGCTGCAAATGTGAGCAGCCCAGGAAGGAAGGAAAGCAAAAAAATAAAATAAAATAGCAGGACGTCAGTTTTCTGTATGTGCCTAATATCCTGTTCCCTCCCCCCCCCATCCCATAACAACAACCTTGAGAGGGAGGCCGCCCAGAAAAGTAGAGATTGGACTCCAATCGCCCAAGGAGTTTGCCCACAAAACTGGCTTTTAAATCTGGCACACCTTGGACGGGCCAGGTCGTCCTTCAAATGAAACGCTACGAATTTGGTGATTGTCCAGCTGCATATTTAAGCGCTCGGACAAGCCTCTATATCTCAAGGATCAGGGCCGTTTGCAAGGAAGGAGGGAAGAGCCAAAAAAGAAAACGACAATGGTAGCCTCTACAAGGGGAAAAAAAACCCCTGTTTTTCTGTGTTGAGGTTACAGAGACCATATAGATATATCTATATATATACATATATATAATCATAGATCAGAGGTCGCCAAACATGGCGACTGTAAGACTTGTGGACTTCAACTCCCAGAATTCCCCAGCCAGCCGAAAATCAAGAGGCCGTAAAATCAGGCGCAGTCACATAATTTAGTGACTGTGACAAATTTACTGCTCCCAACCCTGGCCGTAAGTTGAGGACTAGCTGCATTTTTTCCCTCCCCCCGAGAAAATACAGCTGACAAAATTAAGAGGCGCATGGAACCAGGCATCCCTGGCTAACGTTTTTATGCCGCAAAGGGCCAAAAGGCAGAAGCTGAATTCCGCCGCCGGTCACCATCGCTTGACCGTGTTCCCTCCCCTCACTCACTGCTGGCCACCTCGAAGGACTTGAACTTGACTGGTTCGATGTAATTGACCAAGGTTGACATCTCCTCTGTGGCATTCACTTCACTGCTGGCAGTGCCCTGGGGGTGATCAGGGGGTTGGCAGGGAGGAGGAGGAGGAGGAGGAGGAGGAAGAGGAGAATGAAAAGGAGAATGAGAAGAAGAAGAAGAAGAAGAAGAAGAAGAAGAAGAAGAAGAAGAAGAAGAAGAAGAAGAAGAAGAGGAGGAGGAGGAGGAGGAGG